TCTTGAAGGAAGGCCAGACGGAGTCAAATCATCGCTCCGCACTGATCTTATTACAATTATATTATATCTTTTTTCATCTAAAACCAAGTATTCTGTATTTCCATCCGTCACTCACTCAATTCAACCCGTAATCATTCCAAGAAATGTCAGAAAAGACTTTGTCCCTGAGACCAGCAGTCAAAAAACGAAGATATGAATTGCTTGACATTAGAAAGCTGAAAGTGATCTTCATCATCATCGCTACCGACGTCAAGCCTCTGCAGGCGCTAAGTTATTCTAGCGCCCAGTTAACACAGAACACCATGTGAAGTGTGAGTTGGTGAGGGATGCCGTTTTACGCCGCGCCATCATGTAACATGGTGAAAGTCTCCAGTTTGTCTTTCCTGCTCAGTTTGTTTCACATAGGTCGCCGCTGCTGGTGGGCGGACATGAATCACCAAAACACGATGCCCCTCATCTGGCGCGCTTGCACTTCTCAGTCACCTCTTCAGCCGGCATTCATCAGCACTTCAGATCTCTCGTCTCTCGCAGCTCCTTTGGATCAACTATTCCAGTGTTTATGTGCGATGGCGACTGGAACGGTCCCCGTCCTTACCGGGGCTCTCGCGCTCGCTCTCCGCGGCGCTGATGAATTCACCGGCTTGTTAATTGGCTAGATTAAAATACATTGCCTCTAACAGCCAGAGCTTTAGGAGCCCTTAATGGATTGGTCTATTTCGCTAAAAGAGGGGGGGGGGGGCTGTCTGTGACAGGGATGGAAATTATCTAAAGGGCGATGAAGGATGGGACACCATAAAATGAAAGGGGGCGGAGGGGGTTAGGTATGGGATGCAGTGACGTCATCGGCGGCACCGGGAGGAAGGACCGGACCGGATCATATGGAGGTCTCAGGTGCTTTTCATTTGGTGCTGCCTGTTTGACTTTGACTCGACCGACGTTAACGGCTCGGCTGAGTTATGCAGGAAGCCACGTTTACAAAGGCTCCGCCTCGCCGAGGTGGCATTTAGCAGCGGACTCTCGGTCCAAAATCCATGATGATCAATGGTCTGTGACGAAGCTTTTATTGCCTCCACAGTGAACACTTTATAAGCTCAATATATGAGATGGCACTTTTTTTCGAGTGATCCGTGTTGTGTCTTCAGTATCTTCCGATCCCAAGTCTCAAACTTAGATCTTTGCATTGAAAAATATGAGAGGTTAGAGTCTAGTCATCAGAAACACGTTACATTACATGTCATTTAGCTGACGCTTTTATCCAAAGCGACTTAACGCCACCACCTTTCTGTACAGGGAGGCCAAAACCAACACAAAATGAAAGTACCCAATTTTTGTACTTGTCTTTACTTGAGTATCTGTGACTCGACGCAGGGGTTGGGGTATAAAGCAAATACCACACTCAGCCACCGGAGGGCGATCACTATGTTCTGCTTGCGGTCCAAGCGTTTTTCTCATTGAACAGTGGTTAAAAAGCGCCTTGAGACGGGCTCACCTTTGTGCACCACAAAGGAGTTTTGAGGAGAAACTTCTCTTCTTCTTCTCTTGCCACAGCTGGAACGTCAGGAACGTGGCGGGCGTCAGCCTTGAGCCTCTCTGTGATGTCATCACTTGCGGGCTTCTGTGCTAATGGACCGCAGAGGAGGAGCAGTGTCTACAGGGGGGGCTCCTCCACATCACCGCAGCTCCCTTTTACTTTTCAACAAACTATTGCAAGGGCCTGCAGGGAGACAAACTGTCCGACCGGGGCGGGGCGGGGGGCGTTCCCCAGTCCGACGAGGGGGTCATCTCAACCTTCCCAGCTAAGATAATCAAGGACGACCAAAGGAGGAGCTGCAGATTTGCTTTTTAGGGAAAAGATTCTGCTCGAGCGAAAGGAAAACCTTTTTTTGCATCTTCAATCTTCTCTTATCTCGTTGCCGCCGCTCTCCATATGCAAAGGACTCATCGCAAAAGGCAAATGGCCGCTGTTTGCTGAGATTAAGCTGGCCTTTGTCAATTCTTCACTGACACGGCCACACACACACACACACACCTAGTAACAGTCGGCAGCTTGATGCGACCCGCCTCTGACACTGAATGTAGAAAATAGATGAATACCAATGGATTTGCGGTAATTAAGGATAGGAGGAGTAGGTGACTCAAGGCTCTTTCCAGACGGCTGAGGCAAATCACCCGCAAAGGCAATAAACAAGTGCGAACTTTGCCTTTTCCCCTCCCGGCGCGCAGCTGTTTGACGAAGTCTGCCAGGGCCACGTAAATCAGGGCGACGTGAAGGATGCGTTGCGAGAGGTAAACAAGTACCAAAGGCACCCTTCTCTCCCCTCTCTCGTCTTGCCCTCCGGCCCATTCCTCTCCCGCTATTTATTCAAGAGACGGTGAAAGGGCTGTATACACCTCCCAGCTGGACACGGCCGGGACAGTGTCCTGCGTGTGAGAAAAGGCAGTAGTTGGTGTCCAAGTCCTTTCCAACACCCCCCACCCCCTCCCCCCCCCTTTCCAGTTCAAGGCTCTCATACGTCCTCTGAAGCTCCCACACATCTGAAAAGGCTTCTTTTGTCCCCCCGTGACGATGCCCACTAGTGGTTTCCGAGTGGAAGACGGCCGATGGAGCTGAAGTTAAATACTGAGCTTCCCCCCCCTCAAGCCTCGACAAATGTGGAAACACAGGGAGCCAAAGAGGGGGAGGGAGGGGGGACACATTTTTCTTCCTGACTGTAAAATCCTTCCTTTTTTTGCTAGGGGGGGGTCGACCCTTTTGAAAGGTGGCTGTATCTTTGGGGGGGGGGGGCTCTTATTGCAGTCAGCATACAACTGTGTCGCAAACAAAGACCTCTTCCTCTGTTACAAAGACACACACACATTTTGCCGTGATTTTTCTTGCGTGTCCGTCTTCACGTTCCCGGTACGGAGAACAAGCGTCCTGCTGTCTCTGAGCTCGGTGCCTTTCACGTGCTTTGGCTGTCTGTTTAATGCGTGCATATGGGTGGCAATGAGTCCTACGGGTCCATCTGCCATGTTTGAGGCCCTGCTCCGACATATGCACAAACACACGGACCCACACACACACACACACACACGTTCACAGGCTTCATCTACACTAATGCGTTGTTGTTTTTAAAAACCGCCGACCACAAAAGCGCTTTAAAAAAGAAGAAGAGAAAAAAGGAAACAGGCAACACATTTGTGTGCTTATGCAGTTGGTTGCTTGGTTACAGAAAACACGTTGTACTCCCCATGATGAAAGGTAGTGTTTCATGCTAAGGGTTGTCATAGCTTCTGTTATACTAGTCGGATAAAATACCACAATCGAACAAACAAGTGGGGGAGAATCATACAAGAGGGGGTTTGGAGCCGCATTAATGCAAATATAGTGCGTTACTATGCGCACACTTATTTGTTGGTGCTGAAATCAAGCTTACACACCTATCTTTATTAGATGTGCATACGTGTGTGTGTGTGTGTCACAGGAAGTCCTGTGACCGCCCCCCCCCCCCCCCTTAGGAAGCCCCACGGACATGAATCACTTGGAACCCACACACTAAGCTAAATGAACTCCCCCCTCTCGCTTTGCCCTTAATCACATTAGCCTAAGTGATATGGGAACGCCAGGCCAGACACACACACACACTCCTACTTTCTGCCTTTCAACTCAAATAAATAGCCACTCCCCCTGCGCTTTAAGTTGTCTTAAGCTCCAACTTTGGATAATAGACCGTTTGCTCCCCCAAAAGACCCCAGTGTGGAATAATGAGGATCAGGACGAGGGCAGAGAAAGCAGGTTGAGAGGGAGTAACAGGGGAGGAGAGCTGACACTCTGCTAATACCCGCCCCGGGATTTAACCCATCAAAACACCTGTTTTGTCAGGCCGCGAGGTTATTGTGTGGAACAAATGGTGGATGTGTTTTTTTTAAGTAGTCGGCAGCTATTGGGGCGTTGGTGGAATACGTTTTAATGAGACGGGCTCACGCCCGGGCGACCACAGTCTCCGGGCCTGAAAAGTAAAGCCGATGGGGAAGTTCCTTCCACTTGTATTCCTTCTGACGGCTATCGAGGGAAGAAAGCGGTCAGATTGTATAGAGGTTTATGAGAAAATGACCCCTCTTCTCACTTAACTCCACGTTGTGAACAAAAGGCTGTGACCTCAATCGGTATTTTCAAGTCTTATTTAATACAGCATGATGTTCAAATTGTGTAAAATAAACCATAAAGCAGGGTGTGTATTTAGGGCTGTGTTTTCCGCTCGCTTTCACAGTGTGTTCTCACTTCATCAAAGTTAATTCAACACGTTCGGTGCAGATGAACCCGTTGGAGTTCCACGGCAGAGGTCATCTTACTCTCAAAATGCTAAAACAGAGGCAATTTAGCATAATTTCATTTAGACTAATGTCACATGACTACACGACAATATGCATCTCTGTGCTGAGGGATCTGGTTCAGTGGCCACGCAGGTCCTGGACAGAGGAGGTGTCCCCATGTGTGCCTGGTTAATAATCGATGGAGGGAGTGTTATTCCACGGTAAATAGCTCCCAGTTTCTGTCCGGCCCGGCGCATCTTTTATGGATGAGCCTTGTCAACACAGCTCCATCTGTATCAGCCGGGCAAACAGCAGATCCACTGGCCTCAGTGTGTGAGAGGGGGAGAGGGATGAAGGAGACGTCTGTGGTGAGACTTTGTTGTGTGTGTGTGTGTGGGGGGGGGGGCAGCTCGCATCATTTGCTCATCCGGGCACTTTCTATTTACCCTACGCTGCAGATCTATATCGATATATGTATATATATCTAGACACTTTTTGTCAGGGGGGTGTTTTCACCTTTCAAAGTTTGACATGCATATTTTTTAAAGTGAAAGACTCCTCCCCCTTCATCCGCATCCTGTCACTCATCCATTCCTGGTTTCTCCGTCCAAGCAATCCTAAGTTGTAAACATTTTCTGGTTCTGTGAGTCTTGTGTGCTTTTGTGTCGCTCACTTCCCTTTCTTCTCTCTTTCTCTGCCTACTGAAGGACACAAATATATAAATGCAGGTAAGCACATCAAACTATCTTTTAAACTAATGCCTTTTCTGTTTGCTAACAGGTGCTTTTGAATCAACTTTGTGAACAAAAAGGAGTAAACTGTGATGGGGATTTCCGGTTTAATCTTTTTTTAAATTAAATAAATTAAAAAAAACAGATTATATCTAAAGCTCTTCCTTTATGCATACATACATAATATTATATATTATATAATGATATGATATGTAATATGTACAGTTAATATGTATATATAATAATCCAATAAGTCGAGGAACGTGAAGATTGATACCGAGCTCTTACAGTGTGCACAGGTGGTTGATTTAATAAGGTATGGGAATGATTTATGAGGTGTGAGTCTTATGAAGATTGCTCCTTTCCGGATACACTGTCCCCGTGTTGCATGCGTGAAGCATATCTTTGTAATTGCTTCCTTTCCTTTCATATACTTCATGCACTTGCTGACATGATTAAGGGTTGTAGACTCATGTCATACATTCTCTATGCATGTCCTTTGCTGTGGTATAATTATGGCTGCCACAGTAAACGTCTCACCGCAATGGTTCATGTGCATCAAGCTTGTCAGGGACGAGCTATGGAGCAATGCTTTTTTTCTTGTTTTTAACTTTGTAGTGTTCATCATCTTTATTATTAATATTATAGTTTTGGAGATAGCTGGATCAGCCACTTACTGAGAGTAAAATTTGAACGTAAAACTATGATATTTGTAGACTGTTTTTCTGACTTGCTAATACGTGTCTATTGGCTGGATTCCCTTTCATGGTGTTTTGAACAGAGCTTTTGTTATTGCAGTAAAAGCATGAGGGATTTGTTTATGCACAATTTCATTTCTAAACACAGAAGAGTTCAAATGCAAAAGAGGCTCATAGACGACCCTTTTCTCTGTGCACGTAAACGTTCTCTTGTGCCTTCGGTTTGTTTAATAGTACCAATTACTACAGCGGCAGCGCGGGCAAATGCTGCACGGCGCCGGGTTGCCTGTTGAAAAAGCGCACACACACACACACACACACACACACATGTGCGTGAGCGCGTGTGGTCTCAACCGGCAAGCGAGGCGCCAAGGAGTACGCGACGGGGACAGGGCCAGGGGTGAGGTCGAAGGTCGCGCAATGGCGGGGTTACGAGGGCTCTGGCGCTCGCAGCAGCCCGCGACCCGCTCGCCCCCCCCACCCCCCCCCCGTCTTCCTCGGGGATCTCATTAAGGCGAAAAGAAGCACCTGCATGGGGGGCGGGGGGGATCAGCAGAGCGCTGAAAAGCTGCGGCGGTGTTGCTGCTGAGGCCGCTTTGCCCAGGTGGGGTTGAGGGGACACAGAAGATCCCTCGCTGAGTATCACACGGCCGCCCCCCCCCCCCCTCATGTCGGGCGCAGCGCGCATCCAAGGTCTCCTCTCACTCGTTCCTTCACCCCTCCATTCGTTTATGTTGTGTACTTAGAACTTCTTTACATCTGCATTGTCAGTCCCTCTGTGCTCCGTCTCATTGCGTGACAACGCCCCCCCCGTCCCCCCGTCCCCCACACATCCACACACGTTTCCGTTGAGCGAGACAAAGGCTCAGGTAGTTTTGGCCCCCTTTTCAAAAGCAACGCACCATTAACAACGCCGCCAGTGGAGAGGACGTCTTTTGTCTGTGCCGCTGTGAATCCGACTTATACAAACGTCCCCCCCCCCTCCCATCAAAGGCCGATGGTTCCACTTGTCTGCTCCAGCGCTCCCCTCTCCTTTTTTTCCCCGGGGCCTGAACCCTATTATGAGCCTTTTTAATAAAGGCGGGGGACGGGGGGGTTGCAATTATCTGCTGTGTGGTTAGGGAGGTCAGCGTGTGCAGCCCTCGGGGTGGGGGTCTTACGGCCCCTCTTCAGCCGTCTGTTCCGGGGAGGGCAGGTGTCATCCACATTAACTGATAAGCCGTGTGTACCAGCCGGGTAGTAGTGGCCCCGACACACGAATCCTTCACGTCCCCTCGTCTTCTCCGAGGACGGGACGGCTGACAGCCGCCAGTCTGAGGAACAGAGGTGAAGCGAGACTCTTTTATCTGAGGCTCTTTTCTTATGTCTCTTCGCCGCCTTAAAAGGCTGTTGTTTAATTCAGAGGAGCTCAACTTCCAGGGGTTGAAGGTAAATGACGGAAGGAGTCGGAGGCTCGCTCTGGGAATAGAGAGAATCTCTGAATAGTGTGAACAGGCTCGGCCGTGACCTTGATGCAGGGACAGCTCCTGATATGTGTCCATCTGAGAAGCCAGGCCGCTCATTTCATCACACTTGTTTCTTCTTCTGGAAGTTTAAAAAGACACTCGCCAAATCGTTCCCGTTGGTCGAAGCCTTTTAAATCTTCCTCTGAGCCAAGTGGAGATTCTCCATTTCGTGGTTGGTGCCATGCAAGCAGCAGCCAACGTGTTGCCAACGCGCCCCCCCCCGCCCCCTCCTCGTCTTTTCCCTTTCACTCATTCTCCCGCTTAGCTTCCTTTCTGCCGCTTTCCCTGAGCTCAGAGCGAGCCCCCCGTCCCCCCCCCCCCCCGCTCCCAGCCTTGGTTCGGTGACATCCTCGTTTATCAGGAAACCTTCAGTCCGTGTTGTCCGAGTTATTTAACCTTTGGAAACACAGATATTTCCTCTGAGAGCTCCTCTTTGGTCGTGTATTCATCCGGGAGATGCAAGAATTGTTATTTGCCCGCCGAACCACAGATCAGGATGTTGTCAACATTATCGTGTGTATAGTAAAAGTATATATTTTTGTACTGGAATAAATCAAGACTCCAAATTGAAAGCATGTCTCAAAAGTTTGCGTCGTAATGAGGTTAACTCTCCTGCGCCTTCCTTTCGGCGCGCGTCCTTCAAATCCGTCAGTAAATGTGAGGATCATCGTCCCACACACGCGTGTGTGTGTGACAAAGCGAGGCGTGTACAGTGAGTGTATGTTCTCAGCAGCGTATGTTCAGTGCCGTGAAGAAAAGGCGGGTCTGTCAGCACTCTAACGACCAGAAAGTCCTGTCCAAATCGGCGAGGGATTCTCTCACATGTTGCCAATAATGTCATATTCCCCCAGCCAATGTGTTTTTCGACATAACACGACTGATGTCACTCTAACAGACAGCGGAAGTTAACACACTGGCAGAGCCATGAAGGACGAGATCTCAACAGGCCGGAATTATGTTGCTGTCAGCTGTGACATCAAAACCAAGTGGGAGGAGAGCTGAGTGGCTCTTCATCCCCACGACCGCAACTTCCCGCTAAGCAGATGTTTAACTAAAAAATACTTACAAAGGAAATAAAATGTTAGCATCCTTCATGTTTTTTAAACAACATTCATCAGCATTGTGCGAAGATGTGCATCGTTTGGGCGTTCCTCTGGCAGCCGCCGCTGTGGGACTAAGCATTATAACACCAAGCACCAAGTTTCTATTCAAAACAACCGTTTACCTTAGTGGAACTTCAGGGGCCTTTGTCAATATAAAGTACTGCAAGCGCGCGCCTGCTGCCTAGCAGCCGCGCTCCGCTATGAGGATTATTGTTGCCATGGGGCAAGTTTGTTGGGCTGCAAAGAATTTTTGGCAGCTATGAAGACTGCTGCTAAGTGTCTGTCTGCTTGGCTGCTTTGTCAGGGTTATGCTCCTCTCTTCCTTATTGGGAAGGAATATCTCTCTCTCACACACACACACACACACACACACACACACACACACAGAGGGCTCTAACTTAATTGACTGGGTTGGAACACGACCAAGAGTCCTCGGCGCGATCCAGGCCACTCCCCCCCCCCCCCCTGCTGAAGCACCTCAGCTGCGTTTACTCCCCTCACACTGGTTTCTGACCCACATGTACACTCTTATCTCCAAGGCTACGTCAAACTTTGTGTCCCGGTTCATTAGTGTGGGATATTCCAGCCTGCTGTGTCACCGCCTGCGTCCGAGCCCGAGGCCACATCTACACGACGTGAGCCGCTCCCAAGTGCTACACCTGCCGGGTCCCTCTGCCGGCCTCTGCTTTACCTTCACGCTTATACTTTATTTGATAATTAACTGACTTTCTCGTCCACATTTGTCGAGTGGGCCTGATTTTGTATGCACTGCAAGTAATAAATACAGCTTGCTATATATTCTACAAGTATAAGTCCTGCATGTTTCATTTGGACATAAAATTAGCCTGACTGAATGTGTCTTGATTGATGGTGTAAATCTATATTAGATGTAATATTGACAATTTCCTGCTCCAAATGTCATGGATGGAGCACAGGTATTTATAATGAAAGCTGCACTCAGGTAATGAACTTCATGGGTTTCCCACAATGTGTAAGAATGACTTCATGAGTCTAGTTGATGTCGGGAATGAGATGGAGGTCTGTGCAGGGATGGAGAGTCTCTTGCACCACCTGTGGAGGAGGACAGAATGGACCAGCTCTTTGCATCTGCTGCCATCTCATGGCGGCCTGCTGCATATTACCAACCATGCATCCGCAGGGCTGTAGTAAACTAAACTAAACACATTTAGGATTTATTCGCCTGGTTATCTCCAGCATGCACGTTGTTTACTTTGGATATTCCAAACGTAATTCACAGTGTTTCTCAATTTATTTACTTTTTGTTGCTGTGGGTCATTAAAGCAGGTGGCGCCAGCTTTATTGTTCCATTTTCCCGGAAATTTCTATTTTCAATCTTCTCCATGTAAGTCGTCCACTTACTTGTTTCCTGGTTGACCTAAAGTTGCTTTTTGTCAGAAAAAGAGAAGAAGAGAATAATAACAATTAGATAAGTGGGGTGACTTTGCTCTCGGTCAGGGACACTTTGTTTCCCTTTCATCGTTGCGAGGGAAGCACCTCTGTCTTTCCATGTGTTCATTTCTTTCAACAAAGAAGCGTTACAAATTTGGGGTTACCGAATGAAGCGTGTGGAAAGGAGTCAGCTCAGAGGTGGTTCAGGCGTCTAACCTGGAGGATTTGCAGGCACACCCAAAAGGTAGGAGACCCGGGGGGGAGGCCTCGGGTTTCCCCAG